TTAGTCGGGCGGCGCCGTATCGCTACAGACTCGCCTCCGCCGTGCGGCGGGCCAGCGAGGGCGCTTTTTCGGCGGCGACCGCGGCGCGCCCCCGGCCCGCCAGGCACCGGCGGCGGGCAGACAGACCGCGCCGGTCGCCGTCACGCCAGATATAGCCGGCGGGCGTGGCGCCGAGGCCGGGGTCAGGCGCCAGGAGCGCGTTCATGGCAGGCCACGGCGTGACACAGCGCGCCCGGCCGGCCGGCTGACGGCCGGGAGAGCGGCGTCCCCTGGCGGCGGGCGGCGGAGACGCGCGCCCCAGACATGTGCCGGGGCGCAGGGGCGCAGCCAGGGTATTCTCATGATGAGGCGGCGGTGAAGCTGTCATTACGCGTCGCGCCAATTTGCATTTTTCTGTCTGGAGCAACCTGTGGTATCAAACAATAACCACCGGTCTTGGAAGCCCCACCCCCCGCCCAGCCACTCTTGGCTGTACCCCGTCTTGAGCACGCCCCTGCAGAACACAGCGGCCGGGGCCGCCCAGTCCCCGGGTAGGCTGACAGCAGAGCCGGGTCTGTGTTTTGAACGAAATGGGCCCGAAGGTTTGGTGTGTTTTTTCACAATGTTTGTGCGGCGTGAGTGGCGACGGCGTGTAATGAACGCTGCGTCCTCCGTTATGCTCCAACTTGCAGCCATAATTAATTGCGGAACGGACTGGTGCGCAGTGACGCGGGAAAAGCACGACGAGGGAATTGTCAGACCATTGAATTCCAGGTTTCGAGGACGACTGATGAGTGCGGTGATTGGTTCTGTATTGATCGTACAAGGGTGGAGTATTTTGGGCGTGATTGTAGTGAGCTCGGCGGCATTTTATGTTTCCATGTCCGTATGGTCCCTTGCAATCTCACCCACCCATTTATCATGTCGTGAGGGCTTGTACTTGGCGTTTTAAGCGACGGCAAATCATGCGCCGTATGGTTTATGACGCTCCCAGTGTGATTCAGGGTCTCGTCGCGGGTCACCAGCTGTGAGACCATGGAGGCAGGCCGAGTTGCTGCGCGTGGTCGCGGAGACTGGCAGAGCTGCTGCTACGTGTGGTCTCGCGGCGGCCTGGTGGGGTGCAGTGATACGGGGGCTGTGTGACCGCGGAGACAGGCCGAGTTGCTGCGCGTGGTCGTGGAGACTGGCCGAGCTGCTGCGCGTGGTCGTGGAGACAGGCCGAGCTGCTGCGCGTGGTCGTGGGGACTGGCCGAGCTGCTGCGCGTGGTCGTGGAGACAGGCCGAGCTGCTGCGCGTGGTCGTGGAGACTGGCCGAGCTGCCGCGCGTGGTCGTGGAGACAGGCCGAGCTGCTGCGCGTGGTCGTGGAGACTGGCCGAGCTGCTGCGCGTGGTCGTGGAGACTGGCCGAGCTGCCGCGCGTGGTCGCGGAGACTGGCCGAGCTGCCGCGCGTGGTCGTGGAGACTGGCCGAACTGCTGCGCGTGGTCGTGGAGACGGGCCGAGCTGCCGCGCGTGGTCGCGCGGCGGCCCGGTGGGGTGCGGTGGTACTGGGCTCTCTCCGCCGTCGCCGCGCGGGGGACGCTCTTCACCAGCAGACGTCACCCCTCAAAACGGCGTCGTCTTCGAAAGGAACTGCTCAGCGATAGCGTCCAGGACTGTTGGTGGGGCCGGGCCTCCAAATAATGAAAGTGACACCCAGCCTAAATCTGCTGTACTGTATGGATTTCAGGCGTCTGCATGAGTTGTATGACTCCTGTGGTTACAACCGATGATTTGATATCGGATGGCTATTTCCTTGTGCTGTAGATCTTCCGGAATGTCTCACCTGACTAGGAGAGCTGACGTGGCCGGGTGGCGACAGTCAGCCCCGTCCCCCCCCCCCCCTCCCCGGTCAGCTGAGCCTGGGCTTCCCTGCGGGTGGCGTGTGCTCTTTCTGAAGGCCGACTGAGCTGGCCGTCCAGCCCGTGCAGTCCGCGGTAACGGCGCCCCCCCCCCCCTCCCTCCGCCCCTCACCCCTCCCGCCCGGGGGTGACGTAACGTCCGCGGTCACCTGTTACCTCACGGCGCGGGGGGAGGCGTCACAGGGCTGACGTGGCGTACGGTCTCCCGGCTTCCAGACTTCCGCGGTCGCTGAAAAGAGGAGAGAGGAAGGGAGAAGAAGAAAGAGGGGGAGGAAGCAGAGGAGAGAGGAGAGGAGAGGAGAGGAAAGGGGATGAGAGTGGAGAGCAGAGAGATGAGAGTGGAGAGAGGAGAGACGAGAGAGGAGAGTGGAGAGAAGAGAGAGGAGAGTGGAGGGAGAGGAGAGTGGGGAGAGAGGAGAGTAGAGAGAGAGAGGGAGCGGATAGAGGTGAGCGGAGAGTAGGGAGATGAGAGGAGAGGAGAGGATGAAGAGAAGAGAGGAGAGGAGAGGAGAATGGGAGGAGAGGAAGGAGAGGAGAGGAGAGGAGGGCGAGCGATGCCGAGGCAGCGAGCGAGGCCAGGCGAGGCGAGGCGGGCGAGGGCAGCCGATGCGAGGCGAGGGGAGGGGAGGGGAGAGGAGAGGAGAGGAGAGGAGAGGAGAGTAGAGGAGAGGAGAGTAGAGGGAGAGAAGAGAGAGAAGAGAAGAGAGAAGAGAGAAGAGAGAGATAGAGATAGAGAGAGAGAGAGAGAGAGAGATAGAGAGATGAGAGAGAGAGAGCTAGATAGAGAGAGATAGAGAGACTGAGAGAGAGAGAGAGAGTAGAGAGAGAGAGAGAGAGACAGAGAGAGATATGCCGAATGACCGGGAGCCTTGCATGCTGTTTTGTCGAGCGTAGGTGCCTCACAGTGTCTAGAATCCGCCGCGCTGCACGTGCAGGGCATCTGACCTGCCGCCGTGGTGCCGTGGCGTGTAGACCCAGCTTCCTGGCCGTCCCGTCTTTGCCACAGCACATGCCATCTGCTGGGTGACGTAGTCCGCCGCCCAAGGGAGGCGCGCAGGGCAGGACAGCCCTGACCAGACGTCTGATGTAACTCTTGGCCATCTTCGCGGGACCTTACGCCAGTTCGGGCCGGCGTGCAGCCGGAAAGGCCGGCCGTGTTCGCAGCGGCCGTGCAAAGTTTGTTTCGCCGCGGAGTTCTGAGCGGGTGGGGGTGGCCGGTCTCCGCGGAGCGGGAGAGGACGGCTTCCAACCAGGGGGCGGCTTCCCCCCGGCCACGCAAGGGCGACGCACGAGCCCTGTCACGGCACGGGGCCGGCGCAGGCGGTGCCGAAGACCGAAGTAATGGGATGTGTCCATTGTGACCTCTCTGCTATGGACTCAGCAGTTGTTGCTAGCCGATGGCGAGGTGTCAGTCTGTGCTGTGACTAACGGATGACGAGGTTTCCTTCTCAGCTATCGTTAGCCGATGGTGGGATTTCATTCTCAGCTATCGTTAGCCGATGGTGGGGTCTCATTCTCAGCTGTCGTTAGCCGATGGTGAGATGCTCTTCTCAGCTATCGTTAGCCGATGGTGGGATCTCATTCTCAGCTGTCGTTAGCCGATGGTGAGATGCTCTTCTCAGCTGTCGTTAGCCGATGGTGGGATCTCATTCTCAGCTATCGTTAGCCGATGGTGAGATGCTCTTCTCAGCTATCGTTAGCCGCTGGTGGGATGTCATTCTCAGCTGTCGTTAGCCGATGGTGAGATGCTCTTCTCAGCTATCGGTACCCGATGGTGGGATCTCATTCTCAGCTGTCGTTAGCCGATGGTGAGATGCTATTCTCAGCTATCGTTAGCCGATGGTTGGACGTCATTTTTAGCTGTCGTTAACCGACGGCCAGGCGTCATTCTCCGCGCTCTTCGCTGAGCCTGACACCAGACCCGAGCCTGGCGCCGTCAGCGTCCGTTGCCATGACGTGCGCGTGCCGTCACTGACATCGAGCCGGCCGTGACGGCAGCGCGTCTGGTCGTCTCTCAGTCGTTCCTCGGCTTAGCCTGTGCTAACGGACGACTGGGCCCGGAGGGGTCTGGTCGTGTTCCGACGTCTAGCCAGGCCCACCGGCGTGGCGGCGGCGACGGCGAGGTGGATGTGTGTGACCGCGCTGCTGCGGCGGCGTGCTGCCCGCGGCGGCCGCGCGCCCCCGCAGGGGGCGGCGTCGGACCTCCCCTCTGGCCGGGGCGTGGTGTGGCCGCCGCTCGGTGGCGCCGCCGTCTGCCGCCCCGCCCCGCCCCGGCCGGTCCGGGCGGGGCCGCCAGCTGCGGGCGCCGGTCAAGGTTCGCGGCGTCTGATACCGCCGCCGTATCGGCGCGTCACGTGGTCCGCGCTTCACGGATGGGCTGGGGGAGTTGTGACGCCGCCCACTGAATGTGCTGGACGACTGGTGCGGGTTTTGGGTTCACGGTTCTGTGGCTACCCTGTGTTCCGTCTGTGGGTACCCTGTGCCCCTGTCTGCGGTTGCCCTGCGCCGCTGACTGTGATTACCCTGTGTTTCTCGTTTTTCCGGGTGCTGGTCCGAATATCTGCAACAAAGACAAGGAAGATGCTTAGCTAGCGCTTGCCTTACCTTACGTAGGATTGGTGTCCGGCGGCTTCTTTGAATTGTGATTGCCTTTTTTTCTTTACGGTGGCATTTAAAGACCATCGGGTCGCTGGCTGGAATGGGATGATCTCATGGGACTACCCACGGTTCTCGGCATGCTGGTGCTCAAATAAGGAAGCTTTGTTCCCACTGTCCATGATATCTCGGGTAATCTGGATGGTTGTGGATAATCCACTCGGATTGGGCTTAAATACCGCCGCGTCTTTTGTGCATCCGAAACTGGGAAGTCGGTAAGCAGAAAGGTATCGCGAAGGTGGCTTCTCCAAAAATTAACGCCCCAATGCGTCCTTAAAAACGTTTTGCTCCTCTGCGTCCATTGTTTGAATTTTCAGTTGCCAAACGATTCTCCCAATAATTAAATGAAGCCGGCGGACCTTGCCCGCGCTTGCGCAAGCTCTGAATGTCGTTCCTTATGACGTCACGGCGTGCACCGCCAGGACTGTGACGGGCTCCGCCGCTGACTCACGCGTCCCTCCGGCAGACCCGCTCTCGGGATGGATGGAGCAGAAGGCGTCCCCGGAGTGCTGGGAGTATCCGATGATGGCGCCACCTATACTCGACGACGTGGCGCCACCTTTGGACCCGCAGCCAGGTGCGGAGGGCCTCATCCCGGACGACCTGCAGGTGAGGCCAGCCGCGCAACCAATCAGCGCCCAGCCGGGCCAGCTCAGCCAATCAGCATGCTCGCTGGTGAATTTAGCTCACCCGTGCTTTTATGCACGCGGCTGTTGACGTCGGTGTTGGTACGGCAATTACCGACTCGTCTTCATTGTGTTCTTGGGACAGCGCACGTTTCGGACCGGTCATGTTCGTACGCGGGTCACGAGTGGTCGCCTTCGTCCGCGAGGGTGGCGCCAGCCGTGCTGACTGGAGGGCGGGTGACCTGAACGTGCGCCGCGCCGGCCGGCAGGACCTGTTCCTGGACGGTCCGTCGGTGAGCGGGCCGTCGCTGCCCGGCGGCGACGCTGACTCGCTGCTGGATGACCTGCTGTCGGGCCCGTCGAGCCCGGCCGTGTTCGGCACGCTCTCGCCGCTGTCGCCCCTCTCGTCATCGGACGCCGGCAGTCCGGCCTGCCCGCCCGAAATTATGGACCTGCTGCCGCCGCCGGCCCTCTCGCCGGACCCGCTGCTGCCCCAGCAGGTCAGTACAGACCGCCGCTGCTGTCCCATCAGGTCAGTACAGACCGCCGCTGCTGTCCCAGCAGGTCACTGCAGACCGCCGCTGCTGTTTCAGCAGGTCAGTACAGACCACCGCTGCTGTCCCATCAGGTCATTACAGACCGCCCCTGCTGTCCCATCAGGTCAGCACAGACCGCCGCTGCTGCCGCTGCTGTCCCAGCAGGTCAGTACAGACCGCCGCTGCTGTCCCATCAGGTCAGCACAGACCGTCGCTGCTGCCGCTGCTGTCCCAGCAGGTCAGTACAGACCGCCGCTGCTGCCACCGCTCAGACAGCGGCTGTCGCCCCAGTAGGTCAGTACAGACCGCCGCTGCTGTCCCATCAGGCTATTACAGACCGCCGCTGCTGTCCCATCAGGTCAGCACAGACCGCCGCTGCTGCCGCTGCTGTTCCAGGAGGTCAGTACAGACCGCCGCTGCTGTCCCAGCAGGTCAGTACAGAACGCGTCCGCTGTCCCTAGCGGGTCAGTAAAGACTGCCGCTGCTGTCCCAGCAGGTAAGTACAGACCGTCGCCACCGCCTCGACGGGTCAGTGAACTGCTTCTCTCCCCCGCCGTCTGCGGCCAGTTTATTTCGTTGCTGGTACTCCAGCCAGTGAGCGGATCAGTATGGACTGATTCCGCCTTGCCAAGTCAGAACAGCCTTCTGTTGCCTCAGCATCTCAGCACAGAGAAGGCAAAAGAATGAGATGTGCCGAGAAATCAGTTTCCAGTACATAAGTAGAGAGTTGCGTCATGCCGTTCTCATTCGTTAGTATGTTTGTTGTCAGCCGCTCGCTTTGTACTCTGCAATGTTCCAGCAAAGGTTTGCACGTTGTGCACTGTGTGTACTTTGTAGCGTGGTGCGTACTTTGTAGCCGTTTGGTACCAATACATCGAGGCAGCGTTGTGATGGCAGGCCGTAAGGTCACGTGACCTAGGCAAATCGGTGGGAAATTGACAGCATGTCGTTTATTCTGAGGTTTTGTTGTGATATCTGAAATTTTTGGACCAAAAATGTTCCCATAAGATATTTTTGGCACCCAAGCACTGGCGCTGCCTCACGGATAGGCTAATTTCCTTTGTTTTGTGTGGGGTGCGCCGTAATGTAATAACATGTAGAATACACCACGGGCGTGCATTGCGTGGGGAGCAGTCGGCTGTCAAAGGCAGGGAACTTGTGTTGTGTCGTTGTCGGCGCTGTCGTAGCGCATTGGAAGGTGGAAAGGATGGTTTCGCTTGCATGTTCGGCATTGTATCCGGTCATCTCCCACCCGTCCATGTCGTCAGCTAGCGTGCTCAGGTGCACACGTGCTTGTGGTACCTCAGATGGAAAGAGGTGGCGACTGCTGACGCCACTTTGGCTCAGGTTTTGCCCGTATCCGTTCCGCATTGTCCTTGACTTGGTCGAATGTCGTTACCCGCTGTGCTGCACACTACTTATTCGCAGTGTGCACACGCGTATATTTTGCACTGTGTACTACTTCTGCCGAGGTCGCTGGCTTCGCGGCCCCTGACTCGGCTTTCGCTGTGACGTCAGCGAAATTCGCAGTGCTCGGGTTTGAACCCGGATCGCGCGGTCCTGAGTCAGGGACGCGGACGGCGCCAACACCCGCCTTTCGGTCAAAGGCCACACGTAGCTGAAAGGCTTGTCTTCCTGTTGTGAGGGCAAGTGGAATCCAGTCCAGTCCAGTCCAGTCCATTAGACCAGCCACTCAGGCGGTTGCACCTGCTGGCGCCCCAGCGGCGGCGGCCGTTCTCACGTGATCCCGGCTCAGCCCGTGACCTGACCAGCGGGCGTGCCTCGGGCCAGTCACCGCTGCCGCCCGGGCGGACACCATCGGACCGCCGCCGGCCGGCGCCCTCCTCCCGCTGCGCCCGGCGAGCGCCCGATCCGGACGAGATGACTGGGCCGCAGGGGTGACGGCCGCCGGCCGGCGCCCTCCTCCCGCCGCGCCCGGCGAGCGCCCGGTCCGGGCGGGATGACTGGGCCGCAGGGGTGACGGCCGCCGGCTGGCGCCGTCCTCCCGCCGCGCCCGGCGAGCGCCCGGTCCGGACGGGATGACTGGGCCGCCGGGGAGACGGCAGGCGACCGGGCTCGGCCGGAAACCGGCGGATTGTCGCTAGAGAGCGGCGCCGGTGACGAAGGTCGGACTGGTGGCTGACGCGCGGTGTGGCCAGGCTTCTCTGAGGGGCGGGCGAAGGAGCGCAGCGGACAGTGACCAGTGACGAAGCAGTGCAGTAGAAGTCCCGCGCGAGGCGGGCTGCGACTCCCGGGCAAGCATGACAGCCGGGGGCGCCAGTGTGACCTTTGACCGACGGCACCAGCTCCAGCTCGGGGGCCGCGTGGCCACGTGCGTCGTTTACAAAGAACGAATGGTCGCTGCGATGACGTGCCATTTGTAGTTGTTACCTTTTGGCGGCTATGCTTGGCTGCATGGATCTGCGAGGCACTGCTGAGGGGAACCCGCGCGGATTCTCTGCTTGTATATAGTGCCTGCAAGTCATACTTCGGATTGCATATGTTTTCCGTGGTCTGACGTGGACCAAAACAAACAAAAATGAGAGCGCGCTGACAGCCGTTATTGTCAAATGGCACATGTGATACGGCAACTTTCCAACCCATCCTCGTGAAATATATTGAGTTTGAAGCAGCCATTAAGATATTTGCGTTCAACCTCGGTATTGTGGTCGGATGTAATATATATGACAGCAAATTTGTTTTCTTTAACAAAGTATAAATCCATTGAATCATATATATTTATTGATTTACTTATTTATGTATTTATATATTCATTTATTTGTGTGTATATGCATATGCAGATAGAAAATAAAATCATTAATTACCTAAGTAATATATAAATATCTTGATTATTTGTGGCGTCCGAGTGATCATACCACACAGGTTTTACATTTTGGCCTCGTCTAGCATATGGCGTACATGTCATCACATCCTTGGACAGCAGACTACTGAATGAAGTGTTGAGCTGCGGTGCCCCTTGCGGCTTTATTCCACCATCGGGGTCTGGCGCGGCGGATTTGTCCGCATTTAGTACCGAGGCTTGGCTCGCGTCCAGCTTCCCAGTCGGGGGTGAGGTCACCCAGGCCGGTCCGGAAAGCGCGACACCCGATCGATACAGGCTCGGCCGATGCCCCGTCTGGTCTGATGCCCTGTCTGCGGCCGCGTGAAGGTCTGGCTGTGGCTGGCCGCGCCGCTCTCCGCCCCGGATCACACGGCCGCCGGCGGTGAGCTCAGGGGGCAGAGGTCCGCCGTGCCGGGGACGGGGCCGCGCCGCCCGGAGCGGCCGCCGGCGGTGGGCTCAGGGGGCAGAGGTCCGCCGTGCCGGGGACGGGGCCGCGCCGCCCGGAGCGGCCGCCGGCGGTGAGCTCAGGGGGCAGAGGTCCGCCGTGCCGGGGACGGGGCCGCGCCGCCCGGAGCGGCCGCCGGCGGTGAGCTCAGGGGGCAGAGGTCCGCCGTGCCGGGGACGGGGCCGCGCCGCCCGGAGCGGCAGCCGGCGCGCGCGGCCGGTCTAATCTGCTGTGGGCGTGACACTGTTCGGTTCGCGCCGCCTGTCTGATGCAACGGGGCGTCCGTGTAGCGGCGCTGGCGGCGGCGGCGCGCGGGGGGCGGCGGTGCGTCGCCCAGCCGCTCGCCAGTCACCAGCCCGCGCCTCGCCACCTGACGCAACGCCGCCGAACGGCCGCCGCGGCGCCCGGCACCGGTGCGCGGCTCGACGCGGGCTTGGGCTGTGAACGGCGCGTGCGGCAGTGTGCGCGGCTGGCCGGCGAGCCGAGGCGGGGAGTGCGGAGAGGTGTGGAGCGAGGCGTGAGCGAGGCGGGAGCGGCAGCGGCCGGAGCGCGCCACGCGGTGCGGTGTCGGTGCCAGGACTCGGGCGCCGAGGACTCGCGTGGACCCGGCCGGAGCGCGGGAGGTGCCCGCAGACGCCATGGCGTGTGAGCTCGGTGGCCACGCGTCGGCGGAGAGGAGATGGAGTCCCTATCAGTGGATGGTCGACCACAACAACCGTCTTAAGGTGACATTGAATCCGCGGCTGAGCGGGTCTCTGGCATGCCTGAACCAGGGTGCGCGACAGTGTAGTGGTTAGCGCGTTTGCGTTAACCGCTGCGCGTCTGGGAAACCAGAGTACAGGGTCCTATTCCCCGCTGCGCTCGCCCCTCCTGCCAGAATGAGAAGTAGGCTACGCCACGTATCCTCAGCGGCTGAGAGCGTCGAAAGCCTCAGTGACAACTAAAGGCCTTAACCTTGTGGCTGAGGTGGTCACCGGTATAGCAAAACTGTATGTGTCCAATTGGTTGGTATCGGATGGAGCTTTTGATCCTGTGTGCGCAATACAGCGAAGAGGAAAAACGACCCCTGCAATAAAGCTGTTTACCACCGGGCAATCCCACGCGCGTTATCCGGGTCTTGCATCATCCAGAGTGCAAGTGCTGCCATCTTAGCGTGCAATCGATACCGGTCAACCGCACCTTCCCTTGCTGCCGGCAGATGTCTCTGGACGGCTGGGTGCCGACTCTGTCTCCACCGCCGAGCGACCCGTTCTCGCCGCCGGTGGCTTGTGAGGAGCTGCGTGGCCAGTCGGCCGGGCCCGATTGGTCGCCGCCGACGCTAGCGCCGCCTGCCAAGCGGCGCCAGGCTCGGCCCCGGCCCTACGACAAACCGACGCGTCGCCAGGTCACCGAGCAGGAGCGGCGTGAGCGCAAGAAGGAGCAGAACAAGACGGCCGCCACCCGGTGAGCTCGGCTCCTGCATGCACCAGTTGGGTGGGTTGATGGAGGGGGGGGGGTTCGTGTGGAGGGTTAGTGCCAGACTTGTGGAGGTTGGGCTTAATTTTTGCCACGGATATTTTGGCGTGGGTTGGTGCTGATGATCATCCAGTCTGTTATGTCATAGATGCTCTGACTGATTTTTAAGCCACTGCCCCCCCCCCCTCACGCGCCTGGATGTGGAGGCACTATTGTGGCTAGTTGGGGTAGGTGGACCTATGACAGCAGGCCCGATAGCTGCTGGGCTGGCTGTGCTCGTGACGAGCCTTGTGGGTGACCCTCCGCCATCCCTGGACCACTGCAGGTACCGTCAGAAGAAGAAGGAGGAGCAGGAGTTGGCCTGCACCGACCAGGAGGTGCTGCAGGCGCGCAACAGCCAGCTGAAGGAGCGCGTCAACACCCTCACGCGCGAGCTGGCGTACCTCAGACACCTGATGCAGGAGGTGGCCAAGTACAAGCACACCATGTAGGCGGCGTGGGCCGGCGGCGCGCGCGACCCGGCGGCGGGCCCCGGTGCGGGGCTGCGTGGCGTTGACGTCGGCCGGCTGTGGAGCACAAGCGGTGAGCGGTGGTGAGGGCGGCGCGCGCGACCCGGCGGCGGGCCCCGGTGCGGGGCTGCGTGGCGTTGACGTCGGCCGGCTGTGGAGCACAAGCGGCGAGCGGTGGTGAGGGCGGCGTAGCGCGCCGTCCGTCGCGCGCGGACGGCGCCGCTGAGGCCGCACCCCCCGACGGGCCACCGGAACGACCGCGGGCAGCGAGCCGTTGGCGGCTGGAGTCAGGCGGCGCTGGCAGACTACGGGGCCACGCCGCCGCAGCGGTGCCATCTCGCGGAGGGCGGCGACACTGCGGCTTGCGCCGGCCGCCGCGGTGGTGTCTTGCCATATCGTGGAGCGAACCGAAAACACTAGTTGTGATACTGGGCGGCGTGGGGCCCCAGCACGTTGGTGAGACTTCAGTACAAAGTGATCTGGGGCGGCGGGAGTGTGCGGAGAAAAGCAGAGCCGTGCTGGGACGGTTGGGCCGGCACGGCGGCACTGTGCCGGCCCGGGGGTTGCCGTGTCACCGCTGTGAGCGGCCGACTGCTGCCGCCCTCGTGTGGACCGTCGACGGCGATGTCTGGCCCGGAGCGGAGCTGTAAATAATCGCTGGATCGGCACGAGCGATGTAGTGTTAAGAGCTGCCTCCGCGGTTTCCATGTCCAGGCTGCGCTGAGAGTTCTGGCGACAAACCGTAGGCTTGTGTTGTACAGTTGTGAACCACTGACACTCGTCTGCGTGCCTGGGCGCGGATGGGCGCATTGCCGGCGGGTTCTGGCAGTCTCCCCCGATGGATCTAATCATGCTAAGCGTGTCAGGCGTACCGACCCTGGGGCACTGCATGTGTCGTGGTTTCATGTTTGAAGTGCGCCTGGGTCGTGCACGTGCGACTGGCAAATTACTATGGCGCTGAGCGCATTTGCATGCGCGCTAAGCGTCCGTGCCTTGGTCGGGATCCACCCATTCGTACACATACGTTGCTTATTACGTTGTCTATACCGGAGCGATTGCAGTCCGGGCGCCGCTGCTGCTACCGAGGCGCCGAGCTGCACCAGCTGCCTTTCTGGCCGTTTCCAGCAAATTTCGCCCATTTTCTCTGACGGCCGCCAGCGTGCCCGCTTTGTCAGCCGCACTCACCGTCTGCTTGATCTCCGTGTTCGTGATGAGCAGAAGGCAGATGTAAGGTTCCGGGCGTGCCCCGGACGGCTGTGTGTAGCGCGCGGCTTCTTTGGACCATCGTCGTGGTGCTCTTTTTAGATACGTACCTTGCTGTTCGGTGCCGACCCGTTTGCTGCTGATGTGTAACGCCTCCTAGTTGTAGACACTGGAACCTGCAGGGTATTGCCCATGTGCGTGTCGTGTGGGCCTGTGCTGGTTGGTATTTGCGGCGAATGGAAAAATGGCCGGGTGGAGGAAAATGGACTTTAAAGACGGGTTGGCGCAAACGCCCACACAGCAGACCAAGACGTCCGAGTTTGGCGTGTTAACCATGCAGGCGCTGCTTC